GGGACAGTAGTGGGACGTGGCTGGACGCGCCAGGCCCTACGTGGGACGCTCTTGGACAGCAACGGGACAGGACTCCTGTACCCTTTGGGACTCCCTTGGACAGCGTTCGGACAAACACGGGTACAGTACTGGAGCCATTTGGACAGCACTCGGACTCCTTGGATCGTGTCCTAAGTGTTTCAAAATCAGGACTAGGACGAACTTGGACGTTGTTGGGCAGTCGGAACTACTGCTTGTCCAATCCCGTCCCGCGGCCGCATCAGGGTGGGGTGGATAGGTCCAGGCCACTAGAAACACTGGCAAGAAAGAGAAATGTCCGGCCGGATAGGACTAGATATAGGACAGGTACACTAAAAAATGCGGAAATTATGCTATGACCACACACCATTCAAATTTATAGAGCACCAGGCTGGGCTGACTCTGGACGGCCGTCAGCAGTATCACGACGGGGAACTTTGGCGATCGTCAATTTATCAAAACGAAAACAGAAACAGAAACAAAGGCCTCTCTAAAATTGAGGACCCACTGGATTCTTTACCCCCTATATAGCGCCAAAACAGTGGGAACTATTAGTCCAAGTCTTCCCCCACGCCACGTGCGAACGGCGGCGCACATAACAAAACCCTTTCACGATCGGGTCCCGACCCTCCTGTCGAAAACCAGGTGTAGAGGGTGGGAGGGAATGCCGCGGCGCGGAGAGCCTCCAGGGGCGGCACAGGCGGCACCCACGGTGCTCAGCGAGGAGGCGCGCGCGACAACACCCATCGCGATTTCCGTTCCGTTCCGTTCGGGTTCGAGTGCGTCGCATCGCGTCTTCGGTTCGGCCCGAGTAGCTTTGGGCGGGCCGGCGGGCGCGGGGAGGCGGGCCGTGAGGCGGGCGCGGGCACGCACCCCGCCCGCGGCGCGGCCCGACGCGGCCCGACCCAAGACCAGTTTGAGTCGCGGAGGCGGAGGCGTCTCTCTAGAGTGCGTATAGAGGAAAAGGCCCGGGCCAGACCCGTTCCGGTCCCACACGGGCCAGCCACCAGCAGCCCGCCGCCAGGCCAGGTCGCGAGGTGGTCGGGAGCGACAACAAGGTGGGCGAGTGCCGTGACGCCTAGCGCGCCGCAGGGAAGTGCATCGCGACTGCTCGCTGGAGAAGCTCGATGTCGACACGCGGAGCGACGCCGCCACAACAACGACGACGAGTATCCAGCCCGAGCAGGAGATAAAAGTCAAGCGTGGCCCCGGCTTCCTGCGGCTGCCCCGGCCCGCCAGGGCAACAGCTGATTGATCCCCTCCAGACACATGTGGCGGGCTGCCGTCGCCGCTGACGCTGCTGACGCGTGCCGGACCGGACGAGCACGCGGCGCGCCGCCGTCGCAGTCGTGATGTCGCTATAGTCGGACCGACCAACGCTCTGGCATGGACGGCTAAGCGAGATACGCCCCCCGTGACCCCGCAGGGCCGTCGGCGCAGGGCGCGCCACGGCCATGGCCTTGGGACCGACCGCCACCGCGGCCTGCAGCAGCGTGGCCTCCGGCAGGACCCCCAGCAGGTCCCCCAGCAGGACCCTTGGCAGGACCTCCAGCAGGACTCTCGGCAGGACCCCCGGCAGGACCTTCAGCAGGACCTCGGACAGGACCTCCAGCAGGACCCCCGGCAGGACCCCCGGCAGGACGAGGGAAGGGTTTGTCCTGCTGGCCCACCTGCTGACCGCCGTCTGCTACGCGCACCTTGCAACGGCAGAGGCGCACATGACCGGCGCCATCCCCTCGACAAGCGCGGTGAGTACTGTAAGTAGTGCGCCAGCGCCTTCATGGCCCGCTCCAGCGGACCCGACCCGCCCCTAGCACCGCTCCAGACAAGCGCCCTCGGTGGTGTTGGTGGAGGTGGTGGCGGTGGTGGCGGTGGTGACGGTGGTGACGGTGGTGGTGGTGGAGCGGTGATGGTCACCGGTTGAAGCTCATAGTCGTGCGGGGTAGTTGAGCCCGGGGGTTTGGTTGAGGTTGTTGCGTGGTCTTGGCGAGAGGTAAAGTGTTCCTTGTGCATGATCGATCCAGGTGGTGATGGCGACTGTCTTTTCTCTTTCTCGTTTTGTCTCACCAATCTGCTATCTCTACTATCCCCTTCAAGGATCGTCCAGGAAGTACGCTTTTCACTGATTCATTCAGCAAATTACGGTGGCTCGGGCGCCTGCGAGACTTGGGGTAGGCCAGCCCGCAGTGCATGTATGCCCTGCAGGCAAGATGTTGCCTACGTAGGCAGGCGCTACGAGAGCTTGCACAGCCTGAAATTGGCAGGTTTGTAAAACGGCGGATTACTTTACGGATGATTCCTCACCCTAAGTATGCAGTAAGAAAGGGAAGTTCGCCGGTAGGTGTGATGGTTGCAAGGGGCGGAGGAGGGGGGACCAAAGTAGCAGGGTCGAGCGGCGCATGGCCGTGCGTCTTTCTCTCAAATGACCCATATAATGCGTGTCAGTTGGCACGCTGACAATCGCGCCGTCCCGCGTGTGGCGTGTCCTGCACTGCCCCGCGCGTGTCCTGTCAGTGCGTGCACGCAGCGCAAGGACGGATAGGTGCGATGGGTGGAGCACTCCGCAGGGCGATTCAGCTGTGGCCACCACTAATTGTAATACTATTTCGTCCGAACTGGGCGTGTGGGTGACGAGTGATAGTCTAACGACGTGACGCGCACGCCTCCCCGCCCCGTCCGGATGAGTGACACACGCAGACGATAACTACTACACACCGGCGCCGACACGCTGGGACGGGTGACGCGGCACCCCCGCGCCGACGGGAAAGGGGAAGCAACGATCATCTAGGCCGCACCCAAAAAACGAGGTTCTTGAACCAAGTAAATATCCTTAAAACAAGTCAATTTTCTAGCACATGTCTAGGAAAATGACTCGTTCGAAGGATATTTACTTGGCTCGACTTGGTTCAAAAACCTTATTTTATTTTGGGTGCGCCTAGGGATTTTAAAATCCGAAAATCTTCCGTATGAATTGGAAACTTTTCGAGAACAAAAATCATTTTACGAAAAAATTCTTGAAAGATTTCCCCTAAAAATCTTCTCTGGAAAACGGAAATTTCTAGGAATGCCGCTCAGCTACGTCAGGACGGGGTTTGGAGTCGGACGCGACGCATCCTGGTCACTGTCTCTCCCTCTCCTGCCATCCTTGGCGAATAGCCAGGGTCCTTAACTCCCGCGGTGAACTCGGCGCTGCTCGGAGCGCAAGCGCACCGAGACCGAGGGCGGCTCGGCCCCACGACGCCTAGGTGAGGCCCGCGCGCCGTGCCCGCGCTCCCCCGCAGACGCGTGCAGGCCCTCTCTCGCTCGCACAAGCGCCCGCGCGCACGCACGTACGTCGTCGCCGCCATCGTGCGTCTTGCTCGCGCGCGGACGGTTTCGGTTTACCGACGACGACTATCCGGGTCAACAAAACGACGCGGCCGAGCAGGTCCGCGGGGAATATGAAATGGGACCAGGCCGGACCAGGCTCCTCATCATAAATCCAAATTTCAACCCGCGCGGACGCAGCGCCGCCCCTTCAACGAGAGAGTAGTCCAAGTCCGACGGGAGTGCGTCCGAGAGGGAACGTGTTGTGCCCGTCGCAAAACCTTCGCCGTGCCGCCGCCGTTTCTGACGGGGACCCATTACTCGTCCTTACAGCAGGCCGGCCGGCACAGCGTCAGAGCGGCAGACAAGAGGCGGCGGCATGCGATTTTCACCCACAAATCAGGATGCGGGAGATGGTACAGGGGAAGAGGGAGGGGGGAGGGAAGAGGCTGGGGAATCCACCGATGACAAGCTGAACGGAGAGCGAACCGGCGGCGGCGGACGGCTATGATGCAGTGCTTCTTATTCCCGGAGACCAAAGTGGGAACCGCATGAATGAGTTAGTGAGACGGGCCCTGCCTTTTCCGAGAACCCTTCTCATGGACGCTATGTCTGCTCTCTCTCCCCATCGCTATCTCTCTCTCTCCCTCTCTCGCCATCTTTTCACGTTGTCTCTGTCTCTTTCAGGGATACTCTCACTCACACACCTTGTCTCTCTAACAAACGCACAAGGAATGGGGGATAGGGAATGGGCGATGTAGAAATACTCACCGTTGTCAGCGGTTGCTCGAGTCGGTGGCGGTCCCTCTGTGGTTTGCTAGGTGATGGTCTGGCTGGAGGGCCCTTCCTGGAGCGGCAGGGGCAGAGGCAGTTCGGGCTTTGTTGGCGTGGGCCACTTACTTGTCGCGGTGCGGGTTGAGAGTGTGACACCGTCGAGTCCGTCTTCTTGCACAGCTCACCTTCCTCCGCCGCTTCGGCTACCTCGCGGGCGGACCCTCACAGCCCGGCGTCGGAGTTGACGTCGGCGACAGGTTCGGCGTCGGCAACAGCAGCAACACCATGGTACACCTCTCTGCTCTCTCCTATTGTTTATTTTTATTTCGAACTGTGTTGCACAGTTTTCTTTCATGCGACAATACGGCTACTTGGAGCAGGGCCGGCCAGACTCGGAGACGCTCTACACGGAGGAGGCCGTCGTGGGCGCCATTCGGGAGGTGCAGAAGTTCGGCGCCCTCCCCCAGACCGGCGTCCTGGACGAGGCTACCGTAAAGGTGAGTGAGCACCGCGGGTCACCGCTCGTCAGCCGGTTGTGGCTGGCAACCCGGTCACTGACACTCTGTCGCAGCTCATGAAGTCCAGGAGGTGCGGCTGCCCCGACGTGGTGCGACCCCCGGGGCCGGACGAGCCTGCGCACGGCCACCCCTACCGGGACGGGCGGAGACACAAGAGGTTCGTCGTGGCCTCCAAAGGCTGGAAGAAGAGGCACCTCAAGTACTAGTAAGTCCCCTGTCCACCACCCCTGCTCACGCATCTTTATCTTCTCCCGATTTTCCTTCGCTGCCAACACGTTGTCTCTGCGCAGCATCGCGAACTGGACCCCAAAGATTGGCGAGGAGGCCGTCAACGCCGAGATGGTGAAGGCCTTCGACGCCTGGAGCGCGTACGGTCGGCTGCGCTTCACCCGGGTCCGCCAGCCCGGCGACGCCGACATCACCGTCGCCTTCGGCCGCGGCCAGCACGGGGACTGGTGAGCATCAGAGTGGAGGTCCACTCCGATATACCTACCTGTAAGAAGGACATCGCCGCGCGACCGCCGCTGAAAAAACACGGCGAGTGGCTGCTAAGAAAGGCTCAGTTGCATTTTGCCTGCGCGACGCACATGCACGTTTGAAGCGCTAGGAAATATCGGTTGTCTAAGATATACATTTTCTGAAAACGGCAAACGATAGGTTATTCATTTCGTCGCGCGCTGCTTCGTTTGCTGTTTTCGGTAAATTGGTATCTTGAGCCTCTGATATTTCTTGACGCTTCAAACAAGAACGTGCGTTGCGCCATCGCGCGTCGGCCAAGCCTTTTCTGGCAGGAAGATATCGGCTCTGTACGAGTCAGCTTGGGTTATCTTTTCTTTTGTCCTGGCCAGGTTCCCCTTCGACGGCCCAGGAGGCATCCTGGCGCACGCCTTCTACCCCTACGAGATGGCCACGTACGGCGGGGACATCCACTTCGACGATGACGAGAAGTGGGCCGCCAACCCCAACAGCACCGAGGTCTACAACGGTGAGCCCGGGGTTCAGCGCCCGTCAGAGTAGCCCGCGCCAAACAGATTGGCTGCTCTGTGCCGGGATGTCCCCTCGACGTCATGCCAGTCGAGTGTTTCCCCGTTTCGATGTTGATTTCACAGGACCGGCTCTCGCAACAGCTCGCCTCGCCACGCTAGAGAAACAAAACGACAAAAAGCGCGCACAGAAAGCAACCATGTTTTTCAGTCAAAAGTGTCAAAACACACAAAAACAGACACACAAACCTTGCGGCGGTGCGGGCCCGGGCCCCTTGGGCGGAGGCAGGTAGGCCGCGCGGAGGCAGCTGTGCGCGACGGGTTTGCCTACCCCGTGCAGCGCAAGGGGCCCTCCCGGCGGGTGCGTGGCTGCCACGCCACAGCAGCCGGCGGCCGCGGCCGCTTTCACGATATTTTCCAAACGTTGACGTCGACACGGCACTTCTCCACGCAGGGGCCGTGGACTTGTTCCTGGTGGCCGTGCACGAGCTCGGACACAGCCTGGGACTCGGCCATTCGCCGGACCCAGACTCCATCATGTTCCCCTACTACCAGGCCAAGGGCAACTCGTTCGCCCTGGGCCAGGACGACATCATGGGCATGTACGAGCTCTACAGTGAGTACCGCCGGCGTGGAGCCCCCCGGGACCCTGGATGAGATGCTGACGGACGGGCGCGCTCTTTTGCAGTCAAGAGGCCGCTGGAGGAGGACAACGAGACGCCAGACATCTCGTTTGGGAATGACCCTCCCCCGAGACCCACCAGCACGACGACGACGACCACCCCGAGGCCCGTGAGAACCACGACCAGGAGGAGGTGAGGTTGAAGTTTAGGGAGGAGGAAAGCTCCTCTCTCCCCGTCTCAGCACACCAGCAAGCTGAACCGTTGGACATGCCTTCTTACAGGCCTCGTCCGACCACGACAACGACCACCACGACGACGACCACTACCACGACGCCGCGGCCCCGTCGTCCGCCCCCACCGCACCACCCACACCACCCGCACCATCCGCATCACCCGCACCGGCCGCAGGCACCGCCGATCGTGCCCACGTTCTCCGGGGACGACGAGACGGTGGAGGAGCACAAGAAGCACGACGACAAGCACAATATCCCGCCCCCACAGGCAGGCCCTGCAGGCCCCGGAGGGAGCCCCGGTGGGGGCAGTGCTGGCAGCGGGGAGGACAACGAGGTCCCCGACCTCTGCAGCGGCAGTTACGATGCCGTGGCGCAGCTCCGCGGGGAGCTCTTTGTCTTCAAGAGGCAGGTAAGGGAGGCGAAACGATCAAGGAAGCGAGGTAAACAATTTGAATCGAAATTGAATTCCGTCCGGTTTTGGTGATCACGCCCCCCGTGCCCCCGCAGTACCTGTGGCGCCTTCGGCAGCCTGGCGAGGTCATGCGCGGGTATCCTGTGCCGCTGCACCGCATGTTCCAGGGACTGCCAGAGTACGCCAACAGGCTGGATGCCGTCTACCAGCGCGACGATGGCAACATTGTCCTCTTCTCAGGTGATCGACGTACTTATGGAATTTCAGTGTGAAAAATATATTGAAGGGACGAAAAGGGGGAAGGGAAGGATGAAAGCTTGCCCAAGGAGACCGAGATTAGTCAAAATCACATCAAAGTGAAGTCAAAATAAAGTCATCTTCACTGCTGTATGTAACAATGTCAACTTTCCATCATGTTAGGTTGACTAATCTCTGAAAATATTATTTTGACATATCTGTTATTCCTTAGTGATAAGTGGGTTGCGCATAATGTGTTGCATGCCTAAATAATCTTGTTTCAATGTTTTAAACTTTGATTTCGTGCTCCAGGTCCTCGATACTGGGTTTACAATGGAGTAAACTTTGTAGAGGACAGTCCTCAGCATATAGCTCGTTATGGACTTCCCCACAACATAGACCGCATCGATGCTGTCATGATATGGGCAAAAAACAGAGCGACATATTTCTTTAGGTAGTACTATTTATGATTTGAGTTACAAGAGGTGTGTTTTGCAACTGTCTATCAATTAAGCAAAGCGGATTTGTGAACTTTTAGAAAGTCTGAGTTTTGGCGATACAATACGACCACCTCTCGTATGGATCCTGGGTACCCCAAAAGGATCTCTTCAAGTTGGAAAAGAGTACCAGATGAGATTGATGATGCTATGACATGGACAGACGGTACGTATTGCACATAGTTATAATTCAAGACTGAATATTTTCATGTTGCCCTATGCTGACTTATTGCACTATTTCTATGCAACTTTTGCAGGGATCACCTACTTTTTTAAAGGAGATAATTACTACACAATTAACAACAAACTTGTCACTGTGCAAAGTGAAGGAAACGCAGCTCAGTTCTGGTTTGGCTGTTCATAGTTCTTACATCCCCCCAAAACCAGTGCAAATCCTCCATAAAATCTACATTGTACATAGAAGAGATCACTTCAGTTCATTAGACATTTTAAAAATCAGTGCCACATATTCAATATTTTACTTTTGTAGATAAAAATTTCTTGACCAGTTGCGGGCCACTGCAAGTTCATAATTTACAATTCACAGAGCTGAAGTCACGGCCTGAAAAGAAAATTAAAATAAAAAAGAAAAAGAATCAAATAGAGATTTTTAAAAAATGGAGCTTTATTTTCCTAATAAAAGCATTGAAGTTTAAATAATAGAACAAGTACAAAAATACTTCAGTTGAAAAAATGATAGGATAAATACTGAAACCAACAAACCAAAGATCATGAAAACAAACCAGCACAAGAGTTTACAAAAATTGTGAACTTCCACTTGCATTCAACAACAATTTCATACTTGGATTTAGCATAATAGTTGATACCAGCAACTTCAACATTTAAAAAATATAACAGTCGTAAAAATTGGAACATGACATTTCCATAGTACGCATTACACTATCACAATATTTCCTCTAAAATAACTTGTTCATGTTAGCCTAGAATACAAAGTGAGACCTAGTTATTGTCCTACACAGAATTCTATTCATGAAATCCACACAACAAGAACATGAACCACTCAAGTAACTATGCCTGCATACCTAGAAGCTTTTGCAAAAGTGAAATGAGAAAAAAGTATGCAACAAAACACAAATGGGAAAGAATTAACACATGAGGCAGGTTTTTTATAATGCCCTTAAATGTGTGCCATTTCACTGTTAGTAATTCTGACAGAACTGAGTTTGGAATAAAATTATTGGTGCTATGTAATGATGTGAAACAAAGTAGTGAACTTAGCTTTTATGTTTAGTGAGTGTTTTAAGTACTCATGGTCTTTTTTCAAAAAGCACCTAGGAAAATTTCAATGAGTGACAAATGACAATTTAACTGCAGCAGCTCTGTGGGGTGGGGTCAATACCAGATCGCTTGGTGATCCAGAGGCGGGTGAACTCTTCAGAGACGGTGGGGTGGATTCCAACTGTGTCCATAAGAACTTCCATTGTAAGTCCCATCCTGCAAATTCAAAGAAATTAATAAAGATCCAAGGAAAATTCAATTTTCAAAAGTAAGTATGAGGCTTACTTGATAGCTGCTGCGTATCCCTGAATAACTTCTCCTCCCTGAGGTCCAGTGTAGTGCATGCCAAGAACCTTCTGTGGTGCTGCTCTCAGGCAAACCACCTTCATGTAGCATCGTGCCGGGCTACGCTGAGGTACAAAGAACTCAGTGGGCTTGTAGAATGCATGATATACCTAGAGGATAAGATTTCAAATGAATTTCTATATTTCACAAAGGTAAGTGATTTCTCTTTCAAGGAGGAGACAAACCTCAATGTTATCATCTCCATGCCTCCTGATGGCCTCCTCTTCACTAAGTCCACAGCAGCCGTACTCCAGAGGAGTGAAAACTGTAGTGGCAACATTATCGTAGTCCATTTCAATTTTACCATTGTTATAGAGGCGCTGAGCCAGAAGTTTGCCAGCTTGAATAGCCACAGGAGTCAACTCTGGTTTACCCTATAATAATAATAAAAGAATTTAGATAATGAAGCATGTAATTGAAATCAGAATGCTCAACCTGTAAATAGGATTAAGCCTACCTCCAGAATATCTCCAACAGCAAAGATGTTTGGAATATTTGTCAACTCCTTCTCACTGACAACCTTCTTGGATTCAGGGTGTAGTTTCACTCCAACCTGATCAGCCTTGACCTCCAAAGTTAGGGGACGACGGCCAGTTGCCATTAAAACAGTATCAAACAAGTCGGATGATTCTGAATTATTCTGAAATTGTAAGAAGCTGCAAGTTAGTATAAACAACTTTGAGTTTTGCAGTAAGATACAAAACAGGATACATACTTCAAGTGACTTCCAGGTAACTTTAATTTTGCCATCAGCTTGCTTATCCATACGAACAGGTACAGTTTTGTGGAGGAACTTGACACCACGGGATTTCATTTCCTCAGAGATGAGACCTGCCATCTGCTGGTCAAATCCACGCAGTACAGTGGATCGCACCATGACGGTGGCATCCATTCCGAACTCATTGAGGAAACCAGCACACTCAAGACCAATGTAACCAGCTCCAATAACAAGGGTCTTTCCAGGAGCCTCAGGTAAACTGAAGATGTCATCACTAGTGATGCAATTTTCTACTGCACCAGGAATATCAGGGTAAATAGGTCGGCCACCCATTGCTAAGAGTACATGCTCAGTCTTCAGCTCACGCTCAGATCCATTTTTGAGCTTAGCATGGACAGTATGAGTATCAATGAGCGATCCCCGAGCATTAATATATTCAACTTTCCTGCAGAGGAAAAACAGAAGTGTTAGGATACGAAATATATGAGATGTTTTCAATGAGAAGATTTTGTTGTACAAACTTACTTATCCCTCAGCTCAACTCTAAGAACCCAATTGACAGATTTGATGTGGTTTTGTACTGATTCCCTCAGTTTAGCCCAATCCAGGGAAATAGATTTCCTTTCAGGAATGTTCCAGCCAAAGCAGCCAGCATCCTGTAGAAAAATAGAAGATTACTAAAATGTTCAGTATTATGAGAAGAATGAAAATGTATGGAACACTCACATGGAGGCTCTCTCCGAGGAGGGCAGCCTGGTGGAACAACTTCTTTGGAATGCAGCCAACATTGACACAAGTACCACCCAAACCCCATGTGGTACCACGGGGTGAAGGATCAACAAAGTCTAAAACAGCTACTTTCTTTCCAAGAGAGACAGCCTCCTTAGCAGCAGCCAAGCCTCCTGAACCACCACCAATGACCACCAGGTCATAATCAAAACCGTGCGAACCTGAAAAAAACACCAAAAGAAGTTGAAAGGATTTCATAACTTTTATCTTAGCACAACGTCAACAGCTGTCATTGCCTGCGGAACTTTAAAACAGAGGGGGAAGTTGGGACGTCTTAACCTCCAAGAGCGCACTAGAGGTAGCCATGACACAGCGGAACGCTCAAGGCCACGGAGTTCCACTAATTTACGATGACGAAATTTCTCGTCATTAGACCGCGTCACTTTCCAGAACAACCCAAGTCACGCTGACGGCTCGCTCGTCGCAGGAACCATTCAAGGTTAGGACACTGGAGTAGTCAATGACAGGGGCTTACTTCTCGAGCTGGTCGATGCGAAGCGCTGGGCAGTGGACCGAGCTTTTCTTCGAATCAAAACGAACTCTACCTCTCCCGGACCGTTCAACCCTAGGAGCCTGGAGGCGAAATTGCCCGCAAGTCGTCTCGAAGCGAGAAGCGCCATACTTGCAGCTGCAGCCTCTCAAAATTCCCCCTATCTGCCCATCTGCCAACTCGCGTTCCGAATTTCCCCAGGAGAGGTCGTTGCGGTGGTGGCAGTCGCTGGCGGCCGTAGCAGTAGTAGCAGGCGTACTACTTGACGGGGAGGACACCGCTGGCGCTCGGAGAGGTTATCTGCCCGCCCCAGTCGTCCGATAGAGAACCGAGCCCAGCAGAGTGCGGACGCAAACAGCAGGGTCAGCGCAACATGAAGTCCGTCCTCATCACCGGGTGCAACCGCGGCCTGGGGCTGGGCCTGGTGCAGCAGCTCGTCCAGAGGCCGACGCCGCCCAAACACCTGATCGCCACTTGCAGGAACCCTCAACAGGCCGAGGTAAGGGGACGAGCGACGGCGCTCGGGGGGTCCGCGACGACGTCCACCTTCGGACCGCGTTAAAGGTACTCACCGGCTTGAACGGGAGCCATGTTGAGAGAGGTCCGTAGGCTGCGGGCGCGCTGCAGACACTGCCACGGGGCGCGGAGGTGGGGGCCGGGGTGTTATCGCTTTACGTAACCGCCTGGACGCTCGGCCGCGGCTGCTCCCGTGTGTCAGCGCCGAAGGATGCGAGCGACGCGACACGAGACGACGGCGGAAGGATGTGACCGGAACGGACGGCCGCGCTGCGAGAAGTCTTTGAATGGGCCACTGCCTTCGCGAAGGATCCACAAGACTCGGGGCGGGTCGGCCAAGGCTGTCGGCGCTGCCAACCTCGGCGGGAGGGCGCGAAGTTTTGACGAGGGGCGCGGGACGGATTTGCGACGGGCGGGCACACCGGCGAGTACCCGGGTGCGACTGGCTCGGGAGGGGGCCCGCGGCCGGCTATAGTCACTGGCCGCAGCCGCACCGCGGCGTGACGTCGGCACGGGGGGCGGGCGGCGGGCGCGGCAGGAATGACGTCGCAAATTTGCGGCGTTCCGAGAGAGTGGTCGAGTGTCGCGTGTCGGCCTGGGCCTGGCCGGCCCACAGCACAGCGCCGAGCAGCGCACCGCCGAGTCCAGGTCGATGGCGCGCCCCTTTGTCATCGAGCGCCTCCCCTGCTGGCCTCCCTCTGTCCAGCCTCGTCCACGTCCACCCCGCTGCGCCCCGCCCCCGTGGCGTGCTCGCAACGCCAACAACATGGCCCATTATGTCACGTTCCCAGATGGCGTATCGCTCTCTGTCGCCGCCGTGCTCACAGCGACGACGGTCTTTTAGCGGAATTGAAACACGGGTGCGGTCGCCTCACTTCACTCGGGCCGCGCCCCCTTGCCTTGTCCTCACCCGCCGTTGTTGACCCCCGCTCTGCGCCCTTCAGAGCCTTATCGCCAGCCCACCGCCCAGTTGTCTGTCCGTCCGCACACCCCCGCCGCCCCCAACACAGACGTGCGTGAGAGCCTTTCTCCCCCCCCCCTTCCCCTCTCCTCTCCCCTGCACTCTCCCCCGCCCCTCAGTAGCGGCGTTCCATGCTGGCTGCGGGCGACGCCACGCTTTTGGCCCATTTACAGGCGGAATGTGCATTCACTTTGCCAGAGTTGCATCAGAATTTATTTCTGTGTAATATCAGCATGATAGCAGCGACCCCCATCCCCCGCTCCGCTCCTCCTCCTCCTCGGGTCCGCGGCTTGCCTACCCCCTATCTCACCGCGTATACGCTCACTTCAGGCGGGTTTCTGGTTCAGGCCTCAAGGAGGCGACGGGTGATTTGCACGGAGCGGATAAGAGATGACGTAGCACACTAGCCGGTGGCGCCGGCAGCGTGAGTGAGCCGTATTGTGGTGTAACTTTGTTCTAACCGCGGGCGCAAGTGCGACTCCCGCGTCTCTCCTCACTCCTCCCCATTCGGTCGTATCGACAAAAGCGCGCCGCACATTGCTGTGTACTTCGGAGGTTTAATACCGTCGCAGCCAAAGGGCGGAGATGATAAAAGCCTACTTTTTATTTGGCCGTAGTGATAGTGTCATGCCGTACCGTCGGGTATCTTCGAGGGCCGCGGAGCCAGAGCGCGGGGCGGCGGGGCGGGTACGGCAAAAGGCGTAAGGATGTTTCAAGTGCCGCTGCGTCTGCCATGTCACCCCGCCGGTCGGTCACTGCTGCAGCACACACGCGAAAAGCCTCCGCAGGACTCCCCGATTAGAAGGGATCAGGATGATAAAGCTTCGCAGTGACTTGCAAGTACGGTCTCAGCTCCTTCTCTCGGAATATGAGAGTCTCGGAATATGCAGATATACTTCACATTATTAGGACAAGTCGTCGTACACGTTCTAGATTGCGTGGACACTCTTCGAACTCGTGTGTACACAAACGGAAGTACTCTCGTCTATACTTGCGCGCCCAATTCGCGGTTACTTGCCTGCACTCGTATGGTTGACTCCATCAGTTATTGTTCGTCAATGTGTATGCATTTTGTTCAAAGCCGTAGATATAAAAAGTTGTGCGACTTTGCCTATAAATAGGCACTGCACTTCAAAATATATCGTGGGAGTGTAGGTAGTACACGGCGGGCTTATATGGCTTATCCCTCTTTCTCCTTCGAGGACTGATGTTGGGGATGATCGATACTAAACGAAGAAATAATTGAGTGTAGGTGACGTAGAAGCGCGCAATTGTCGAAGTGTCTTTAGTCCGCTTCCGTCCGCCACGAGCCATTCCATTTAAAATTTACTGCTGAGTCGATTACCCCCTACCACCCCATGGCCACTTTCCCGGGCCCTCTCTGTTGGTTACCCCAAAAGCATCCGACGACCACGTCACCTCATTTTGTTCAAATATGTTTATTGTTACGCGTTTTCAGATATCATGTAGCGGCTTAAAAAATAAATAAATTGTGTGTTTGTTGCGGGTTGTCAATGAATCAAAATTCAGCTAAGCGATGCGAGGCTTTGTCGCCACACAGAGCGCAGCACGGCTGTGTCGCCCAGGGGTTGACGCTTCATGGGCGGATAGTGTGATAGGATAGGCCAACCAGTTTCGCTTGCGTGCTGAGCTGGTGGTCTATCCTTTCTTCGTAAGGGGCGCTTGGCGACCGCGGGGAAGGGGAGGGGGGAGGTGATAGTAGAAGTAGAAGTGGGAGGGGTGAATAGGCGTAAGTAGTGTCCCTGACAGTGTTCCCTGAAAGTGTCCCTTGAAAAGTGTCCCTTGAAAAGTGTCCCTTGAAAAGTGTCCCCTGAAAAGTGTCCCTTTGAAAAGTGTCCCTTTGAAAAGTGTCCCTTTGAAAAGTGTCCCTTTGAAAAGTGTCCCTTTGAAAAGTGTCCCTTTGAAAAGTGTCCTATGAAAAGGGTCTCTTAAAAAGGGTCCGTTGAAAGGGGCCCTTGAAAAGTGTCCCTTGAAAAGTGTCCCCTGCAAAGTGTCCTTCGAAAGTGTCCTTCGAAAGTGTCCTTTGAAAGTGTCTCCTTAGAGTCCCCTGAAGATGTTTCTCAAAGTGTCCCCCCTGGAAGTGTCCCGGTAGCCCTGCTCCCGACGACGATCGCGTCTGCCTGGGAGCTCTACGGTGTGTCTCCCCGCGGGCTGAGCGCCCTTATCAGCAGGTGCGCCTAGGTGCGCCCCGCCCGCGGCCCCGCGGCCCGATAGCCGCGCTGAGGACGCGATGCCCGCTACCTTTATGACCGCGGGGCCGCCGGCGCCAAGCCAGGCCATCCCGATCACCGCCGTGGATGCTACAGAAAATGTGTTGTTTGTTGCAGGCTCTCACGGCGATAGCCGCCCAGCACAAGAATGTCCACGTGCTGCAGATCGGTATGTGTCGCGGGCGGGGAAAAAAGGGGGGGGGGGTATCTGACTTTAAAATACCGGCTGTAACGAGCCCGGCTGCTGGACTGGACACGCTCTGCTGTTGCTGCTGGATGCACACGATGCACCTGGGGACGGCCAAGGAAGGAGGAGCACTACTTCTTTGGAAACCGTGCACGCATCATGACCTGAGGCAGCGATTTATGCACGATCCAGGGTCTGACATGAAAGGGGGGGGGGGTTGCAATCCTGGAGGTCGTGGGCGGGGGCAGTAAATCGTCTTGGTGTCACTGCGCGTTATGTGGCAGCGGGGCATGGAGGGTGCAGGACATCCCCTTCACCCTTTGGCCGAGAGCCACAGTAGTGGGGTGGGCGGGGCGGAGCGCGGCCGCTGCGACGGAGTCGCAGTCGCAGCCGTGGAAGTTTTCCCTCAAAGAGTAGTCGTCCTGGTGACGCAATCTTCATTATCCCGTCTTCTTCCCATTTCCCCCGCAGACGTGAAGGATTTCAACGGTTACGACAACTTCGCCAAGCAGGTGCAGTCCATCGTCAAGGATGACGGCGTCAACGTGCTGTTCAACAGCGCCGGCGTCTCGTCCAAGTTCACCAGGGTGAACCTGGTGAAGGTGGAGCAGATGACGGAGAACTTCCTGACCAACACGGTCGCGCCGCTGATGCTCACCAAGGTGGGTGTGAACGCGTGCACGCCCCGGTCCGGGCCGGGCCTCTCTCTTCCCAACCTACAGCAGCTCCATGTTGTTCATTTCCAGGCTCTCCTCGCCGAGCTGAAGAAGGCCTCCAAGGGCAACGAGAGCGCGCCCAAGGGCAGCCAGCGCGCCGTCATCGTCAACATGAGCTCGGTGCTCGGCTCCATCGCCCAGAACAACCAGGGTGGCTTCTACCCTTACCGCGCCAGCAAGGTGCGTATGCCCCACCCCCCTTCCCTCTCCTCAAAGGTCTCACGTAATGTGGGACTTCATGGCCGCATTTCTATGCGCTTGCCCAGTGAGCAATGAAATATCAGAACGATATCAGAAATTTGTCGACTCCATTTTTATCAATGTGATACGAAATCCGACAGTTTTCTGATGTCTGATATCGTTCTGATACTTCTCTGCCCACTGAGTTCAGAAGATGAAAGCGTTGGTACTTACCCCCACTAAAAACGCCCCTCTTCCCAGTCGGCACTGAACGCAGTGACGCGCTCGCTGAGCCAGGACCTCAAGGACGACGGCATCCTGGCGGTGAGCCTTCACCCGGGCTGGGTGCAGACGGACATGGGGGGGAAACAGGCGCCGCTCACCGTCGAGCAGAGCACCCAGGCCATGATCAGCTTCGTCGAGGGGCTGACCGACAAGCACAACGGCGGCTTCTACCAGTACGACGGCAGTCAGCTCCCCTGGTAGCGCCGCCGCTCTTAGACAATTGTGTTTTTTATTATTAATCAATTTTTGATACAATCTTGTCATTGAAAGTCGCGTTTGTATATATAGTTATTATTATATGGTAATTTTAGCTGTCATGTAGACTAGTCATCATCCATGCTTGGATCTCGATAAGTGAAACTGATGGTTTGTACTGTGTAACTTGGGGAAACTCTACTTTTGATATTCATTAATGTCATGTTCTTGTGTTCACTTGGAATTAAAAATGAGGTGTTTGTTTTACCATGCTTTATTCTTGGAAGCAACACAAAAAAAAAGATTAAAATAACAAAGGCATCAAGGTGATGCAAATAACCCTGCGAAAGGGAGATTCACTACTAAAATCACAAAACCTTTGACCAACAAAGCAAAGTGCTTCTATTAGCCAATTCCCATCATACACTCAAAAAGAAACGAATGTCACTGTTACCTCAAACTGACAAACAGAAATTGAAATACTGTTTTACACAATACTCAAACACTACTCACCAAACAGGTATAGTATCACAAAAAACAGAGTATTCACATACGAATTTTGATGAACTACATACAATAAATACCAATGAATAAATAATTAGGAACAGAAGTACTTTCATCACATAGATCAAACCTAGAACATTTATACAAATATCTTTGTACTTGCTCATTTAAAACAGAAGCAATCATCATGGGAATATATGAAATGTTTGGCAACCATAAGTCTCACAATGTTCAGGTTCAGTGTTCACCAACTTTAGATATTGTACCTTGATTGAAGTATCATAGCTCATAAAACAGAGCCTTGTGATTGAACATTTAACAAAAAGTTTCACAACAAAGGACTAGATTATGTACCATGCACTAACCAGAAAAATATTTTAAACCTGGGTACTACAAGCTCCAGCACACATCGTTTTCAGTACAGATTATTACGCCAATCATAAGAACTAAAGTTGTTAAAGGGAAATCGAAAGTAATACAAAAGAAAGTTTTTGTTAGCTTTCAGATAAAATAATTAAAAGGGAAAATGTGATGCAATAAGCAAGTTAAGCAAAGACTCAATTCTCTGCAAGGGCAGGATAACATTATCTGATAATTACAAATACATTTTTTTTTAAAAGCAGGAACTAGGCCATTATTGTTCTTATGATTGTACACACTTACATCTGTTTTGCAAACCTTTACAGGAGAATGAACACTAGATATGTTGATTATATAATATCAAACTAGAGGAGTTAAAAGAGATAGCAAGAGTACTCATTAAAAATATATAATATTATCATGGAAACAACTAAAACGTCTTGGTGATCTGGTATCTATTTTAACACCCATATTATTGCGTACATTTCTATAAAAGTTATCACAATAATGAGAATTTTGAAATATATTTTCCCCAAACAAGATCAGCAAAGAGAGATAAAGCAGAACTATTTAAAGAAGGCACATCCATCAACATGAAGAAACATTCTTTAATGGCTCTAAAAATAAAGTTTCTTCTGCTTTGAAGAACTGGTTCTTTCTTTTCCTTTTTTTTTGTGCTGGAAATATTTTGAATGTGGAAAGGGTTGGCAAACACAACAATGTTAATGAATAGCGTGGAAAATTTTGATGCACATAAACATTGAAAAGTTCAGGATTAAACTAAAATTTTGATGAACACACTAATGATACATCTACCTTCCTGAACACTAGATAGAGAGAACTAGCCAGAAAATAACTAATTTCACAGCCCAACTCCAAGTCTTCTTACCTTGAAGAGTCAATTAAATTATAAGTTAGAAAGGAATTGCAGTCTCTTAAAAAAACGGATCCAGGGAAAGCAAGGCTCTCTTCACAAAGTTTACGGTAAAATACTTTTTTTTATGGGGACAAACACCCAAACAACAC